GTCAAGAAATTCATTTAGGATTTTCTTGGAGGTAAAAAAACAAAAACAACCCTTTCTAATGTTTTCCCGTCGGCTAAATTCGTAACAGCACTGTAAAGATCACTAAAATAGTCATTACTTTTTACTCAGAAATTGGATTGACGCGAAATTGATGGCGTTGGAAAGTAGATTCAAATAGCTTTAATTGAATAGGTTATGGCTCACCTAACTCTTTATATTATAAGAGATATGGTCGTTTGAAATTGACCCAAGTAGAATCTTACTATCAAAAACTTCAAAAACACTTATCAAAACTTAATCGATAAGGAAATTGACCCAAGTAGAATCTTACATCAGTTTAGACTCCTAAAACTTTACTAAAAACGCTTAAATCCGATTGGGTAACGAAAAGACCAAAATACCCCTTACTATTTTAGGGTAACTTTCCTTATTTGGACAGCCTGACTTCAAAAAGGGAAATCTCATTCATCCAACATCAAAACTTAGCAAACTCGGTGGCGTTGGAAATATAATTCGAAGACCTTTCATTGAATATCTTATAAGCCACCTAACTCATCCTGTAATGAAGGTTATGGTTGTTTGAAGTTGACCCAAAACTCATAACCTAAGCATAACTTGCAAAGTTTCAGATTTTGCTATTTCCAATTTAGTTCTTTTTGGAATTCAAGGTGCTACATCTAATGACCTTAATACTTAAGAAATTTTAAATTCCTCGGTAAAACTCACTCACTAGGAAGGATGGTTCAAGTCATAGCTCAATTTTTTTTTTTTGGGTGTTACAACATGATCTCATTGGCTTCTTCATTTGACTTGACATTCCACAACATTTGACACATGACACCAAATTGAGCTTCTAGGATAAGATGACATTAAGCTTAGCAAAGTTGATCCATATGTTGTAACCCAAATTAATGAATTTAGACTTTAATTCAATCCATATTTGTTGGACTTAAATAATCAACACAATTATATTAAGTAAAAATTAGGCAAATCACATAGTATAAGAAAGAAATTACTTCCTATCCCTACTCTTTCATTAATTACCAAAAATCCCTTTTTTAGTGTCTTTCGGATACATAATATAGCAGCGCGGATACTTTAATTAATAAAGGGCGGATACTTAAATTATTAAGTAGTTGGCACAGATACTTTAATTAATAACGGACGGATACTTAAATTAAAGGGCGGATGCATAATATAGCAGCGCGGATACTTTAATTAATAACGGGCGGATACTTAAACTAATAAAGTATCCGGTTAAGTTGAATTGAGGGAAAATAAGGGATTTTTGTATTTTAGTAAAAGAGTAGGGAAATATTGAGAATAAGTAAAGTAATGTTGTGTACTTAAGTAATTTGTCCTTTATATTAATTCACAATATTTATTTGACAAATACATCTTTAATTTAAAAATAATTGGAATTATTTTAGAAAATTTATATCTAATAAATTTTAAATGATTACACCAAATGTATCATCAAGATTAATTAGAATCTTTTCCTCTCCCTAAACTCAGTCAGTGCCTTCCTCGCAATGCATTTGTATCTCTTTTTTTCTTTTGACACATAAGTTCATGAACGACGGAACATGAACCTACTCTTCAATTTTTAAAAGCAAATGGTGAATTTCTTGATAATATTTCATAAAATTGATATTTATCACTATAGGTTACTTTTTCATGTAATTGTAGGCTAAACTCAATAAAGTCATAAATAGGGTAGAGTTGGTTCACAGGAATTGGACAACAAATGCAATTTTTTTTAAAGATAATAAAATGTTCGATGTCAATGTGAAGATTTTCTCTTATATTAAAATAAATATACATTGCAATTTTACCTAATAGAATTTCATCACGTATAAAAAATGATAATATTTGATTTAATTAATTTGATTTTTTTGCTTTTCGGTTTTCTACTTAGTATCCGAAACATGCATTAAGCCCTCATTAAACGACCAAATTGAAGAAAATTATCATCAAAACTGACCAACAATTATTTAAGTGTTTAAAGTGAAGAAGCACTACTTTATTTTAGTGTTAGAATTAGGGTGTTAAACAGATGCATCAGTAATTATAGTCATCTTGACTCTTGAGTCAACAAATGCTTCTGGTGGAATAATTTCCACTTTTAAAAACACTCATTGGAAAAAAATTTAACAGTGCTATTGCAGTTCAATATTTTATTAGATCCTGATTAATTTAGATTTGTATAATGCAAAATTATTTTTCGGGAACAACACTCCAACAAGATTTTTTATATTCGGAATTCAAACCCGAATCTCTAGTAAAGAGAAGAGGGATTTAATTTCAACAATCTCACCACAATTCATATTGATGTGATTGTAATTATGATCTGAAAGTAATTTATCATAAGTAGGACAAAAAAATTCTCTATTTTTTTTTATTTATATTAAAAAAAAAATACTCTTATCATCAATAATTCAATTAGGAATTTCCAACTCAATGTAACTTACCTTTTTTTATCTTTTTAAAATAGTTGTTGGGATTAAACCTATTTAGGATAGTTGGTTTATGGCAATTATACGATTGTTAGTTACAAATACACAAATTTGACTGGAGTTATTTGCTGATTTTAGCATTAAAAATTAGTTACTCTGTCCGTCCATTTTTACTTGTTACTTTTCCTTAAACAAATTTTTATTTTTATGTGTACATAACAATAAAAGACAATTATTATTTTTTCATGTTTTATACATGACATTAAATACTATTCTCCAAATCATTCTTGATATTAATACTCCCTCTGTCCCTTTTTACTTGTCAAAATTTTGACTTAAAACACTTATTAAGAAAATATTGATTATTATAGTGAGTTTATCATTTTACCCATATTAATTGATAGAATCTCAAATATCTTTATTCACTATATTTTTCAAAGACATTAACTTAATGTTAATAAATTGATGGTATAATATGTTAAAAAATGAGGGTATAATATGTCAAAAATGACAAGTAAAAAGGGATAGAGGAAGTACTAAACATCAATTAGTAGAAATAGTATGATAAAATACGTACGATAATAATTGTTTCTAAATAAATGTGTCAAATCCAACAATAACAAGTAAAATTAAACAAAGCGATTACATGACTTTTCATGTAAAATGTAATACGGTGAGTCATAAATCATAGTAATCCCTCAAATATTGATAAATACTGGGTTTGGTCCTTTTAATTTTTGATTAATTACATCTAATATTCAATTAATTGATATGTGCATTTTGATCCCTCCATACGAAGAATCTTTCTAATTATAGCAAAATATTAAATTCCAGTTGATTTAATTATGATTGTATTATCAATTATGTAGTTGCTGCGACATATTTGATAATAATCTCATTCTAAATGTAGTCTACATATCACATATTTTATAAATAAAGAGACTGAAAATACATTTTAATTAATTAAAATTAAATATATTTAATTAAATATAATAAGAGCCACATCATAATTTATCAGTAACTCTGGAACCAAAAGTGCAATTCTACAAATAATCTTGTGTAACTTCAATGGTGTAGTATTTTTCTATTTGAATCTTCTAGTTTTCTTCTATTTTCTTACTAAGAAACTTTTAAACAAGACATACATCACCAACATAAATGATGAAATCACTACATGTCCCAACAAAAAAGAGATTAAAGGGCGTGTTTGGTACGGAGGCAAAAAAAATTCCAAAAGTGTTTTTAAATTTTTCATGTTTGAAAGATATTTTTTTTTTTGTACAAGTTTTTAAACATTAGGAAAATGGCTTTCTCATAAAAGTAAGAAAAATAAGTTACATTTTGAGATAATATTTTTTTTGCTTACTTACCAAATACTAAAAAGATAAATAAGAAATCATTTATTTTTCAAGAAAATACATTTTCTTTTGTGCCAAACACACCCTATGAGGTGAAGATAAACATGAACTTAGAACTTTTGATTATTTTTTTTCCTTTTTAATGCAAAATTAAGTGCTTTAAAGAATTTTTTTTATTGAAACATTATAAAAATGATTAAAAGTTATTTTGAAGTAGAAACACTCTAAATAAATTAATTTAAAGAGGCTCTTGCTCCAAAAACACTTAAAAATACCTTCTAGAATCAGAGGAAAAGTTCTAGAAAGTCAAAGGGTAACACAATGCTTGTTTTTATTTTTTTTATTTTGTTATATATAAAATGAGGGTAAAAGTTTTAGAAAGTCAAAGGGTAACACAATGCTTTGTTTTTTTTTTTTTTTGTTATATATAAAATGAGGGTAACAATATGGGGAGGTAATTATAAAGTAGGGAATCGAATTATTATTAACTAGGTGAAAATTCAGGTAGGTACTATCAATTAAGCTACTAAAATTTTAAAATATAACACAATGTTACTTAAGCACATACATATGTAATTTTGAGGTGACTCGAATTACAAATTTCATCTCAATCTCAATAACATGAATCAAATATTACTTGTCTAGTTATTATGATTTATAATCGAATTAATTATCAAAAGGCCACGAGTTATCGAGAGGCCATGCTATGCACAAGCCAAATAACATTAACTTTACATCAATAATTTATCTAAGTCATGAGTACAATTTACACTTAGTTATAAAATATACTAATACTTTACCAATAACAACAAAATAATAGAAAATGTAATTGATTATTCTCTATTTAAGTTCAAAATTTATTTCATATATATTTGAATTTATGAAAGTTGAGTTGCATTTCATTATATTTTTTACTATATGTGAAATGATATTTATATTTAAATATACTACTATTTTAGAAGTACATTAAAAAACAAGTTATAAGTTAAAATGTTATCTCTAATTATCAACAAAAAATGAAATAACATTTTGTTATAATAATAATATATCTATTCTTGTAGAATCAAATATATGCCGATCATATAACTACATACCCTTCCTTTTCATTTTATTTTACTTACTTCAAAATAAAATAAAAATAAAAAATGTAAATTTATATATAAAAAAATTATTACGTAATATTCTTCTTAAGTTTAGCTATTCAACCTTTTATCTTTTAAAAAAAATTCTTCAAAGTTTGACGTGATTATCTATCTATTCGTAAAGGCACCTCCGGAGCTTTAGTTTCTCAATTTCTCAGGTAAAAAATCGTAGTTGATGGCTTCCCCAAATGTATTTTGGCGTTGAATCTTTTGGGAATCAAGCTTAGTTGAATATGATCTACTGTAGTACAATTTACGAACCCTGAATTGTAACTTCATTTTGACCTAGCTTTCTCATCGTAATCTTGTAATATAACGTGTTAATTCAATGGAAAATCAAGTTTATTTTGCATATATGTGTACAAATTTCGATCAAATCGAGTTGAAAACCCTATGCAGAAGCTTCCTGATTAAGATATGGTTATTTGGGGAATATTCCTAAAATCAATTGGATTTCGTTGTCCTTATGGCTTCAGAGTTGTGGATTTAACTTGGATTTGGCTTGATATGAAATTACATATACTGGTTTAGTGTGTAATTAAGTATATTATTGATAAAATAATCATGAAAGAGGTTTTTAATTGATGAGTGTGTTTGTCAATTTTAGATTGGATTGATTTAAACTGCTGTGTACTTGAGGAAGGAGTGGTGGAGATCTTTGTGTGAATTGAACATTTGTATCTGTTTTGAAACCCTAAGTAATTTGTTTGATTCTGAGTTTTGCTTTGTGTTGTAGTGTGAGCTCGTTTCTCGTTGTGGTGTTGCTGGATTCTTTGGTTATGATTGAGAACTGATTGTATTTATGATGGATTTTGTGTTGTAGGTTTTGAATTGTGTTTGGGTTGAATAGAAGCTGCCAAAATGCTTTCCTTCGAAATGAATGATCGCAAAAGTAAGTCGATTGGACCTAAATTATTTACTTTGGCTTGTATATTTAGCACTGCTTTGGGAATGTAGAGTATGTCTGTTACTGCTTGCAGGAAGCATGCAAATTCATATTGTGCATCTAGTTTTACCTAATTGTCATAAACTGCTATAGAAATTGCATCTTAGGCTTGTAGCTTAGTGTTCCAAACAACTGGAGCAAAACAATCTCCTATTTTTGGGGTGCAAGAGTCTGCATTCTTTCATTTGTTTTACCAATATGATGTTTGCTCTCCTCAGTTAAGACTCAATACCTAGCTAGAGATGGTAAGATTAAAAAAAGAAGCATGCTGTACTGCTATTTGAAATGTTATGTCTGCTAAGCTTGGATGCTTGTTGTAACAGAGATAGGGCTAGGATTGACTGGATTTGGAGTGTTTTTCTCATTCTTGGGGATCATATTCTTCTTTGATAAGGGACTAATTGCCATGGGAAATGTAAGTAAAAAGTCTTGCCATTATCATCACATCTCATAAGTTTTCTCTGACCTGTCATTTACCACTTTCCTTTGTTTTCTGACTCCTGCCTGCCATTTGACGTAGTGTTATTTTACTGAATCAGATCCTCTTCTTCTCAGGGGTGGCACTGACCATTGGTCTCAAGTCATCACTGCAGTTCTTTAGTAAACGTAGTAATTTCAAGGTTTAGTTTGCTTTTGGGCCTTTTTTTCTTTCCCGTTCATCTCAACACTTCCTCTTGCTCTCTCTAGAATTGTTTGTTTAGTGTTACATCTTTTCTATTTCTGTTATTTATTATGTATATCTTTCTTTCTTTTTTTGCACAGGGAACAATATCATTTGGTGTTGGCTTTTTCTTGGTTATTATTGGTTGGCCTATACTGGGTATGATTCTTGAGGCATATGGATTTGTCGTACTTTTCAGGTAAATTAGTTATATGGTTCCTGACTGCCCTAATAATCTTTTAGTTGTTATTGGGTACTGATGTATAATTTTGCACAGTGGTTTCTGGCCAACATTGGCAGTTTTTCTTCAGAAGATACCTATTCTAGGTTGGATCTTCCAGCAGCCCTATATCAGATCGGTATGTTTGGTTGTATCATTCATACTTTTTTCTTGCATTTCTTTCAGTTTGGGGGAATCATTTAGTTTTTAAGAAAACGTTTTATTACTTCAATTGTGTTATGTGTATAGTCCTTTCGTTCTGACCTTAATAGATTGGTTGGACAATGATATGCTTGTGGTAGAAGGAACCAATGGCTGATATATGGTGTAGGAGATCATCCATAGATTTTACAGAGAAAAATCTGAAGTAGTCTTACGTGCCCTGTATTTTGCTTATATTATGACTAAGCTATACACTAATCACAAGGATCATAGAAGGAACAGAATCAAATTGCCAATTTTTCACCCCGTCACTAGAAATTGCTTTAAAATTAGTTGTTGCTTATTATTCTTTTATTTTCTTATCCTCTCATCACAAACCACCATATGATTATCCTAATGGCATTCCCTAAACATTTACAGAATATGACCAGTCTCTTTATATTTTGCCTGAATGATATTGGGAAGCTATAGGGGGGCTCTCTCTTCATTGAGTATGCTATTAAGTATCAAGTCATGTATTTGTGTTTAAATGCTGCATGTATGTATCACTCCATTGCTACCCTGATAAATGAACCAAAAAAATCTGTTTGGTTGTTAGATGTCTGATGATAATGTGATTTGAGTCTGGAAATGCCTTACTCTAGGAAGGGATCTTATAAATTATCGAGTATCAAGATGCCTAATCATGAAGTAATTGTCCGACATTCTGGTCCTCATGCATCTGTCTGTAGATGTTGAGATACTGCATTAAAGTCGGTCCCACAGAAAGGAAAATCCTTCTGTGATGCAATTTTACGAACTTCAATTTCCATCCAAACCCCTATTGCCATGGTTAGCAACCTTCCCGCCTCACTGTAATATCTCCACAAAGTATTTCAGAAGAAGATAAAAACTTCAACTTATAAAATTGAATCATAGTTTTTCTCATACAAACCGACAAGTATCTCTTCAGTGGCATTAGATACCAAACTGTTGAATTGTTCTTATATAATTCTTCTGTTGCACTAATATACTGTTACTCAATCGAACCTAACATTATGCATTCTTGTGGGTTCCTGTTTTGTTTCCTTGGTCTGAGATTATTTTTTTCTCTCTGCAGTTCTTTGACCGCTACCGTGGAAAACGTGTCCCTGTGTAGTATCATTTTCAAAGATACAAAGCAAGCGAGATTGATTAGCCCACATGCACGAATTTGTAAAGCACTGTATTTTGTAAGATTTTTATATCTAGAACAGTGATGATAGTAATAGTTTGTTCCTAGTTGGTTGTATCGGCCTTTCTGTGCTGCAATAATGCAGTTCTTTCTTTGGCCTTTCTATACTACAAGTGATCAGTCCAAAAAGCAAAAAATCAGATCATGTACCTAGTTACTAATATTATCCTTTTGTTTTCTAGATGAAAGTGGAGAAAAAAACTTGATCTCCAGATCTTTAATCAATGGTAGAAAGCAAGTGTTAACTCTATTTACATTCTTGCATATTGATGAAAGCAAGACATGGTATCAATTGAAAATTCTCCACACTTTTCTTCTCTTCCTACTTTGAGATCAAATTGTTAAAACATATTATTGTTTCAACAAGTATCCCCTATAATAAGAACGTAAAATACAACTCAAAGATCTCAACCTTCCTCCGCTTTAAAAATGCTACAGAACACTTGAAATAGAAAAATAGTAGATAGTGATAAGACTCAGAAGTTACGGCATCCACAATTGCATAGCTAATCTTTTCTCCATTAGAGGTTGCTTGATTCTATCTGAAATGTATTATCAACAATTTGCAGCTCATTTTCTGAGGCAATGATTGCTGTGCACCTGAAATTAATCCAGTGAAAGTAGAAACAAATTTAACATTTCATGTGTCAAGCATAACGATAGCAAAAACATGAAAATAGATGAGACCACTAGACTTAAGTGATTGCAGAACTAACGGTTTCCTGAAGATAACACCATGTTCCACAACACCATCGATTTGATCAAGGATTTTAGCCACTTCAACTTTCATATGAGCAATGGGCGGTAAACAGTTAGCATCAAACAAGTTCAACAAGAGAGTGGCAAAGAAATAATTCAGAGATGGAGATATACCAAGGCTTTCCATTGGAGATGTAAATATGACATCAAGGATGTTGTGCCCTTCTTTAGTAACTAAAGGGAAATCACCTCCAAGAGGACCTGCATACCCTATTGCTGGCCTCCTCCAAACCTGCATAGAGAAAACAAAATTATCTGGTTATGAAATGTATCCTATCTTGGTCCTTTGCAAATATCGAAGTTTGGCAAGGAGAGACCACACTTTTATGGCCTCACCTCTGCATCCCCGAGGAAGAGGTCATCTATTTCTTCGGCTGTTTCAAGCCAGTTAACCTGAGAAGTGAGCAAGCTATATGAGAATAGTTCTCGTCTTATGAACTAACACTTATTCATCAGCATTCAGTAGAATATTTGGTATGGAGCTTACAGATTTGATTAGTACTGGAATTGAACCTTCTACACCGCCCTTGAATTGTTTTTCCTTAATAATAAATATTAGTTGATCAGCTGCTTCCAAAATAGTCTGCATCCACATTAGCCAATGCAACCACATAACAAGTCAGTGGTTAATATGGAAGATAACAAAAGATAAAGGAACTTCAAGCTGAAAACACAAAATGAAGCAATAATATGTTACAAAATCAAGATAAGAAATACAAAAGAGAGACAAATAGTGTTGAATACATCACATGATATATGACAGACCTTCTCTTTAATTATAGAATCATCTCCCTGCAGTTTTCGTCGACCAACAATTGCAGCAAGTGTTTCTTCTTCCATAATGTCAGCTTCATCAAATGCTAGATTAATCTATGTAAGAAACATAGACATGTTTGCACAAAACATTTCAGCTTCAATGAAATGATTCAGTAAGTGATAAAATAGAGCAAAATCGCAGGTTACTAGAACTTTTAAAGATTCACTACTTCAATTAGTAACAATGAAAGATCATGTGGAACTTTACTTCCATAGGCCTTTCTCTCTCTTTCACGAAGGTAATTCAATTTTACGCTCCTGACCAAAGATCTTCTATCTGCTAACTCCATTAATTGCATTATGGGTATGAGACTAAACCAAAGTAGCTACATTGGCTTTGAGTGCAATCTGAATGCATATGCAGGTCCAAGATGTGACTAAATGCAATTTTCTAAAGGAAGAATCTTAGTAGTAGCGGTGCGCACCTTAAAACTATCATCATACTGTTCCATAGGAATTCCTGCCTTTGCTGCTTCACTTGCACTGCTAACACATCTGCATCAGAGTGTTCCTGATTACTCCTAATGGAAAAACAAACAAACTCAATAACAAGGCTTCTCATCTGTCATCACACTAAAATCAGGAAACCTGTATAAAGATCTAATGGAGAAGAAACTAACAAGTAAAAATTATGAAAATACATTATCATCGTGCCCAATCTTCCACTTTGTACTGTTTCATGTGTCAACTATCTATCTAACGAACACTTGAAATGATCCAGAAATTGATATTCCAAGGTAAAATCATTTCTCAACACACACTCTAAAAGGGAAGTTGAAGTGGGAACAGGACGAGTAAAACAACATAACATGGAGTGTGTCTATTCAACACACAAGTTAATCAGCACTATGAACTACAACAACCAAAACACGCAACCAATACAAGCCAAAATCAGTTTCTACGATTGTATCATATTTTCCTTGTTTATGTATAACCAAGATCAATACATTCAACTTACGTAGGTATGGCAGTGACATCTTTTATAGTACCAGCTCGTAGTTTCTGACCTAGATACTGTATAGCCAATGTAGAAGCATGACCTGAACCCAATCCAACAACCATACCATTCTTCACATATGAATCCACCTACATTTCAACAATCCCACAAGATTCAACACCCAAACACAAACCAAAAGCTTTAAAGTTGTAATCTTTTAACAAAATCCTAAAAAGGGCAAACAAAGAAAGTGTCTAACCAAACAAAATCCCAAAAAGGGCAAAGAAGAAAGAGTCTTACAGTGTGTTTGGCGGCTTGGAAGAGATCATCAGAGAGAGTAGAACGAATAACAAAGCGATGGAGGGATTTTCTTGATGAGGTGAAATTATAAGCTTGTTTTTTAGTAGAAGAAGAAGAAGAAAGAAATGGTGATTTTGAAGAAGGCAAAGCCATAGCCATGTTCCTCATTTCTGTTTCACCTTAATCCCATCACTATCAACTGCTATTAACTGTTTTCTATCTGTTTTGAAAGAGATAAGAGGGCGACATGGCCATCCATACAATTTTTTTTTTTTTTCTTTTTACTCCATTTTTCTATTTTCCCTATCAATTCTCTATAAAATTATTTTTTACATATATATACTATTCTGAATAACTTTAGATACTCAGTACTGAGGTTCTACTTCAGTCATATGTGCATGAATTTCAGTAAAAAAAATAAAATTTGTAGTTTAGACAAAAATTGTTTGAAATCATGTTAAAATGACTGAATTTTTGCCAGATAAAACAAAAATAGCTACAATTTGATCATATAAAACTTCAAACGTGCCATGTTTAGAGGTGCTCCAAGGTGATAAATGTGCAAAAAAATATAATGTACTTTGGGGAATAACATTAATAAAACTGTGACACCAAAATTAGATATTTGTGCACTTTCCCCTCAATGGCGGAGCCAGAGTATTGACTAAGAGGTGTCAATATATAAAGACGTGAAATTGTGTAAAAGCCAAGAAGCGTTAATATGTGATATATATACATATAAAAAAATATTTTTATCTAGCTACACAATGTAATTTTCCGGCGAAGGGGATCTCAAGCGTATGTGGCTCCACCACTGCTTCCCCTTTATATTGCAGCCTATTTTTTTCAATGATCATAATATTTGAGTCCAACTTTTGTAAAATTCAATTAATTTTGTGAAATATCTATTATCTCCCTCACTCCCACCAACAATAGATAACAGGTAACTCACCGGAATATTGCACCCTATTGTGTTGGGTTCAGACCCGAAATTGGTTAATTTTCTCAAGTGATGGAATGGCCCATTTGTTTTGGGCCAGAATAGAAGCTGAAGAGTGTATAGGAAAGTTTAGTGATTGGACAAGATACCCAATTGACAAATCGAGCCACAAGGAAACAGATCGGATGATAACGCAAACAAACTCATCTTTACTTATTCAGTATCAACTTGACATAATATTTTAGTATAGTAAACAAATTTAAGTTGACGAAGAAATATTTACCATTGACTACTCAACTAATAATGATGAAAATCAACTTTGAAAAAGTGTTGATAATTAAAAATCAGACAGGAAAGAGATATTGTCATAATGATGGAATCGGGTTCCCTCTTTCAAACGAAATATTACAAAAACACAATGAATTAATTTTTACATGGTCCCTCCACTTTAAAATTAACATGAAACCCCAAACTCACTTTTCCAAAACAAAGTTTTTTTTTTCTTTAGAGTAACGGCCTTAAAATTTGCCAGAATCCTATGTCAAAATTAGAACTAATTGAGAACAAAAAAATAAAATAAAATAAGCATAGGCTACTTATAATCAATTAATTTAATTATTACAAGATGTTGTTAATTTATGTTTATTTCTATACAAAATTCTATTACAAATCCACTAAGGAAACAAACCTAACTATCCACTCTGTACTCTGTACAATGACTAATAATATTTGGTGCCCTTCACATGTACAATGCACCACCGCCCCCTAAATACCTTCCAATTCATTTATTCAAAGTGTTAAGATTTAATATATATATTTATTAAAAAAACAATTTTTGATATATATATGATATGATTTTTAACGATAGATGTTTAATTGACAAACTTTAAATACAATGTTACTCGTTGTATTGTATTGTTAGTTTAAATATAATATTTATTTTGATGGTTAGTTAACGACGAAAAGACTTATTTTATGTAACAACCGATTTGGTATGATCACATCATAACCTTAATATTTTTGTCTTATTTTGTCTTTGTTTATTATTTAATAATCATATTTAATCTTTTATCCTACATTTTCATAGTAGTTCCATCCCGTATCATACGTTTCTTGTATGTTTATTATTCAAATTGTGGATATGTGACATTATGTAACTACATAAAATGATACAATCTATCTATACGCTGTATTTATTAAAACAATACAGTACGATACAATACAACATAACATAACACAATACAATAACAAACCATTAGATATACCTACGCTACTGTGTGTATTTGGTTAGTAAAACTTTTGCTCTGGGGTCGATTAATGTGGGAGTGGGATTTTTTTCCCCTCCTTTTGTGTTTCAGTGTGCAATGACGCCATCAATTTACACAATTAGAATACTTATAAAATGTTTTAAAGATAATTTATTTTATAAATATTAGCTATCGTTAATATAACAAAAATGATTACCAATTAAGTAGTCATTAATACTAATAT